ATAATTTCATTATTCTTTAGGGCTGAGTAATATTCCATTGTGTCTATATACCACATTTTCTTTATCCATTCATCTGTTGAAGGGCACCTAGGTTAGCTCCATAGTTTAACTATTGTAAGTTGAGTTGCTATAAACATTGATGTGGCTGCATCACTGTAGTGTGCTGATTTTTAAGTTCTTTTGGTATAAACTGAGGAGTGGAATAGCTGGGTCAAATGGTGGTTCCATTCCAAGTTTTTTGAGGCCCTGGGTTTGATCCCCAACACTGAAAAAAAAGGAGCAGCAACTTCCTACCTTCCTAAGCTTTTAGATTTATTCCTTTACAACAAGCATCAACTTATGGATCAAGTTTGGCCCACCCTCTCATTTTTTATAGTTTTTTTTAATCACAACCAAACTGCTTTCCATAAGGGTTGCACTGGCTCCCTAATTTTCATACAAGAAATTTAGTGAAGCTGTATAATTCAGTTGACATTCTATATCTGCAGACAGTGAAATTTGTGTTTAGATTTTAGTGACTATAATGTCAGGTATTCTTTTATACTCGCTGTGGAAGCTTTCTCAGACTGCAATTCATGCTAGGAATTTAAGGACCTGAGCTCGTTACGTCTTTCTGTATAGATTCTTCATGCAGTCAGAGGAATCTGTTTCACAACACTGTCTTTTTACTTGTCTTTGTAGTCATCATTATTATAGTGGTCAAGGGCAGCAGCCTCTTGGGCTTCCAAGGCATTAACTTTAATAGGTAGTTTATTACAGTCAACGGCAGGATTAGTAACTTGATTAATTGTGACACCAGTGCATGCCTTGGATTATCAGCATCCCGTTTCCTACTGGTAAGGACTCAGCACTGTGCTCAAGCCCAAAGACTATGATGTGTTAACTAATATAAGGTGGTTAACTAGTAGAAGGCTTAAAAATATTTTAAGAGATGTATAAGGAGCAACTGCAGAAGGCAGCTACTATATTTAAGGCTAATGAACTTGAAGATCAAACTCCTCTACCACTCTCTGTGGAGAGTGCATGCATGCCACAGGACCCTGTACCACCTACCAGTGGTAAAGAAATTTGCCAGAGGACATGTGTCACAACTGGTCTAGGAAATCCTTTGTTATAATGGTAGGAAAAAAAAAAACATTAATCTGCTAATGTCTAGACACCAGAAGGAAGCAAAGTTCCTTCCTTCTGCTTTGGCCTTGCACTGTCCCTCTAGTACCTTTACTAGCACAAATCAAATCAGTTGGCAAAGGAAAAATGTTTATAGGATTCAGTTTCAGTAAAAAATAATGGGATTAAAATAGTGAATTTGGAGCTAAGCAGCAATAAAATTAAGAAAAAGTTCTTATTCTATTTCATGGATGTAACTGCCATCTATATGCTGTTGCCTCATATTTTTATATCTCTTGCCTGTACCCCCTGATCTCCAGAGAAGAATTAATATGTCAAACTGGCTCTTTGCTGTCTTCAATTGAACTTCTTAGGCATCACCATTGAAGCAGAAACCACCACTTACTCTACACTCAGTTGGTTAAAGTTCTTTCATATGTATTTTCAAACATGTCCAAATCCTACCACTTCTCATCATTTCCACGGCTGTCATCCTGCTCCAGGTCATCTCTCGACTCTCAGATCTCAAATTACATCCTACATTTCTTCATTGCCAGTTTATGCTTGTTAATTAGATGACTACTTATTCTCATTCTGTAACAGCTGTACCCCATCCCTCTTCCATCTTATTTCATGAAAGGTTCAAAAGCCTTAGGGTTTTTGTATGCTTGCTGCATCTCTTGCTGTCAGAGTAAGCCCATTGTTCTGTATTTATCAGTGTAGTACTAACCTTTTTTAAAAAAATTAATACTAACAATAATATTAATATCATTTGCGTAGTTTTGAAACCTAGATTTTTCTATCTTTAATAATTACCTATTGTCAAATTTCCCTTTTATTTTGTTTTGTTTTGTTTTCAAAATATTCTCATCTGTTAAATTAAGAGTGTCTCCCATAGAAAAGCAGTGGAGGCCCCATAGGGCAAGTACAAAATAGAATTAAAACTCCCAAGGGTTTGTCTTTAAAAAAGAAAAGGCAGAACCTATTTTCAAATTTTAAAAAACATTTTAAAAGATGGCCTCATTTCCTAAATTTCTGATTTCTTGGGTAGAATCTACTAAGATAGCAGTCTTCTCCCCCCACCCCCAAAAGTTTCCACTTATGTTATTGGCATTTGTTAGTTAATAGGTAAAATCTCTTTTTCTTTTTCATCAACTTAATTTCTGTATTGTTGCATTTTTTTAATATTTATTTTTTAGGTATAGATGGACACAACAGAATGCCTTTATTTTTATGTGGTGCTGAGGATAGAACCCGGGTCCCACCCACTCTAGGCAAGCGCTCTACTGCTGAGCCACAATCCCAGCCCTGTGTTGTTGCTTTTTAATAGTTCATTTTATTCAACAACTAAAGTCAGACCAGTACACTGCCTTATTAGGGAAAACCATTCCTGTATACCATCTTGTATGTTGGAATAGATCATATCAGGTATCAGAACATTCTCTTTTATTCAGTGTATTCACAAGAAGATTGAATGGAGGTAGAAGGGCAGATCCTTGCATATGAGGAAAGTTGTGTTAAAGTTTCAACACATCTTGGTTTAAGTGGAGTACCAGGGTAAGTTGTTGCACATAACACACACTTCCTCACTGCCTGCAACCCCAGTTCCTGTCTGCCTTTTCCACCAAACAACTCTGAGACAACCTAAACCCAGAGGTTACCAATGGATTGAGTACAATGGGGAAGACACCTTACTTCTACTCTTTGGGATTAAATGGTCTAGAACCGAGTAGGGGAACTATGGCCAAAAACAAGTTTTTGTTTAAGGAAGCTTTGATAGAAACAAGAATGACATATGAATTCAAATCCAGAAAAAAAAAATGCTACTGGGGAGAAATAAAATCGTAGCTGATGTTCTTAAAAAAACCTATAAGAAAGGGTTGGAGAATGACCTTTTATACACAAGCTCTAAGAACCCTGGACACAACAGGAGCTTTGTCTAACACAGTTTGGGTCTACTGAGCCAGATTTCTTGAGAGCTGCCTAGCAGGTAGCCTACCTCGTATATCACATCTGTCTGGCTCAGTCTGCAGTGAGAGTCCTTCAGCTCCATCAAAGTGCTCTCCAATGTGTTATAGGCATCCTTTTTTTGTTGTTGTTTCTTTCTTTCTTTTTTTATTATTGGTTGTTCAAAACATTACAAAGCTCTTGACATATTATATTTCATACATTTGATTCAAGTGGGTTATGAACTCCCATTTTTACCCCATATACAGATTGCAGAATCACATCGGTTACACATCCACGTTTTTACATAGTGCCATACTAGTGTCTGTTGTATTCTGCTGCCTTTCCTATCCTCTACTATCCCCCCTCCCCTCCCCTCCCCTCCCATCTTCTCTCTCTACCCCATCTACTGTACTTCATTTCTCTCCCTTGTTTTTTTTCCCTTTCCCCTCACTTCCTCTTATATGTAATTTTGTATAACAATGAGGGTCTCCTTTCATTTCCATGCAGTTTCCCTTCTCTCTCCCTTTCCCTCCCACCTCTCATCCCTATTTAATGTTAATCTTTTTCTCATGCTCTTCCTCCCTGCTCTGTTCTTAGTTGCTCTCCTTATATCAAAGAAGACATTTGGCATTTGTTTTTTAGGGATTGGCTAGCTTCACTTAGCATAATCTGCTCTAATGCCATCCATTTCCCTGCAAATGCCATGATTTTGTCATTTTTTAATGCTGAGTAATACTCCATTGTGTATAAATGCCACATAAAGCTCCTCAATTCCAGGAATCTTGACACATTTGCTCTTCTGACCGGAGGGGAGGGACTTATGTCACCTGGATAGCTGGGGAGATTTCAGGGGAATGAGGTCTCCAGCTGATGGTTGGTGCTGGTAAGTTCCCAATTCTTGCCTTGACCATGGTGGCCAGCTCACTTAGGGTCTCTTGATGGCACAGGTACTCACTCTAACTAAACACCCCTGTCTCACAGCAGGCTAGTGCCTGGCTATTCAGCAGGGTATCCGTGAGGGTCTTCCATACAACTTTGAAAGGAGTAATAGTGTTTCACAGATCTAGCAAGGAGGAGCAGAAATTATTGCCCATTAAGGAACGGTGGTGCCAGCCTTCAGCATGAAATGGGATCTCAGAGGCAAGGATGGCATCCAAAAGTTTCATCCTGTACAAATAGTTGTAGCAACTTTGATTTACCTGGGTTTCCAGTTGTAGCAGACTTGCGTCTGCAAGTTGCTGGGATTCATACTTGATGTTCTGAACACTGAAGAGTTGAGTGTCATTCTCCTCTTTTAAGTCTTTGGGAACATTGTGTCCCACAGGGACATGGGGTCCCGTGTAGGTTCATTTGCAAGTGCATGATTGCTTCTTCACAAAAATAAATAGCAGTACAAATATCAGGCTCCTGTAGGCCATCACATGCACCCAGGCACAACATTCACCCAGGACTGCCTCCCCACACAGAACTGCATGGTTTTCCCACTGCTCTGCCTTGTTAGCCAAGGCTGCAGGGAAGAAGCAACCATGCCTGGATTCCCTGGAGTTTGCCGGCCATTTGCTTATGGGGGGAGATCAAGCCAGACCTTGTCTGAAAACATAGTGCCTGGGGGACTAGGAAAGGAGGATGACACCTTCCTGTAACCCCTCCCAGCACTTGGATCAGACAGGCAATCTCAACTTTTTTTTTCAGCTTAATTTCTTTTAAGACAAATATCAGTACTCACTTTGGTTACATTTAGAAATGAGTTTAATTTTTTTTTTTTTTAGAATTTCTTACTGGAATTTTCATAGAAAACTTCATCTGCATCTCTTGACTCCTTTTTTATGTTGATTTGAAGCCATAATAAATATAGGCATCTTCTTTGAAATTAAAGGTCCTTCAAGCATGTATTTTTTAAAAAAGAAAATTTCCTAATACATACTCTTTTCTTCCTTTACCAGGTGGAAGATGTTGCTGTTTTTCTCCTGATGGAAAAGCTTTAGCTGTAGGTCTCAATGATGGAAGTTTCTTAATGGCAAATGCAGATACTCTAGAGGATCTTGTGTCTTTTCACCACAGAAAAGATATTATTTCAGATATTAGATTTTCACCTGGTAAGATTGCATTTATTTGATTATTAACTTTGGTCTGAATATGAGTAAATGTATCAATGTGTGGTTTATATTAGCTTGTTTTATTTTGGAATTTTACTTTTTTGACTAGAAGGAGCAGTAAGAAATAAAAGCCCTGTATTTGATTATGCAAATATCTTGCTTAGTGCTAATTCTTATTACTAAATTTTCCATATGACTTGGGCCAGGACACTACTCTGAACTTCACCTTTCTCATTTGTAACATAAAAAGAGCTTGACTGTTTTCATGACATTCTTGATATTCTTAGTGCTTTTAAAATTGTATTACTTTGTGCTGGGGATGTAGCGTAGCATGTGAGAGACCCTGGGTTTAATCCCCAGCACCACAAGGAAGAAAATGCATTAATTTTACTCATACATACCAGTTTTCTTGCATTCATTATTTATTACAAACCTATTATAGGGCTGGGGCTATAGCTCTATGGTAGGGCTCCTGCCTCACACGTATTAGACACTGGGTTCGATCCTCAGCATCACATAAAAATAAATAAAGATATTGTGTCCATCTATAACTAACAACATTTTTTTAAAAAACCTACTATAATACAGTTTTTTAAAAAACCTACTATAATATATTATAATACAATACAATATTAAGCAAAATTTACTTATGTTGGTCTAGATCTTTTTTTTCTAAATTTAAAGAGTTTTTTTGGTCATGAAAACATACCAAAATTACATCATATATAATTTTGACAGTTTGCTCTCCACTGAACTAATTTGTTTCACTAAAATTTACTTTATTATGTTATTTTTTTTAAATTGTAGATGGACACAATACCTTTATTTTATTTATTTATTTTTATGTCTTGCTGAGGATCAACCCCAGTGCTTCACACATGCAAGGCAGGCACTCCACCAGTGACCTACAGCCCCAGCCCCTTGTTAGTTATTAATGTACTTGAAAATGTAATCATTTATCATTTAATACATCTGTTCAATACTAGGTAACTTATGAAGCACCTAAGATTTCTCCAAAAAGATATTAAGAAAATTAACTCTAGTTGCAGAGTGTAAAAACATTTCCACAAGTAGAAAATGCCAAAATATGTTTCTGTTGTAGGATCTGGGAAATATCTGGCTGTGGCATCCCATGACAGCTTTATAGATATATATAATGTAATGAGTAGTAAACGAGTGGGAATATGCAAAGGAGCTACAAGTTGCATAACCCATATTGATTGGGATATTAGAGGTAAGACTTCAAACAGTTTAATATTTAATAAAAGTTTGATTTATAAATAAATTTTATTACACTAAAATTTGATTTAGTGTAGCTAAACATGATTTGTTTGGATCTTGTTAGAATCAAAAACCTTGTGAAAAATAAACTGTATTCTCAAAATTATTTTCCACTACTTTATTTTATATCTAAAAGGGAATGCTGTAAACTTTCTTAGTACTTTACCTTATGTCATTCAAATGACAGTACAGTAATAAGTTGTTTAGTTTGTGGAATAATATCAACATATTGTACATAAAGATTTTTAGTTAGGTAATGTACTAGTTATTATCTGATAAGTTTGACAAACTTCAGATTTGGAAATATAAATGTTAATGAGTATTTTAACCTCCTTTTCCTATTAGTTAATATGCATTTCCTAAAAATAACCATAATTATATAGCATAATTTAATGAGTATCTTTGTATTTTATGACAGTGTTTGATAAGTTAAAATAAATGTTAAATATTTTAAATGCTACCTTTAAGGGTTATATTTTTATATTTTCAACTTTAATATTTTAAATTAAGGATTCTCTTAGGTATTGCTAAACAAAATACTTGCATGCCTTTAAAAAAATTTCAACATTTGTTTCTAAGATTTTTTCAATATGCCTAAAAACAAATAGCTTCTATGTATTTGCATAAATAAAAAATTAAGCTGTTTATGAATTTAATTATATGGAGATTAAGAAAATACAATATCTTAAAATATTTTGATTTGGAGAGGAAAATGATTTTTTATACTTAAGCTTATTTTTTCCCATAAAATTGAAACATTATACCAATGATGTAAGTATTTATATGATATAAGTATGTTCTATATATTTTTTATTTTTTTAAGGAAAGCTTTTACAGGTCAACACTGGTGCTAAAGAACAGTTATTCTTTGAAGCTCCCAGAGGGAAAAAACAAACCATCCCCAATGTGGAGGTAGGAGGACACTGGTGCTTGTAGTGGTGTTCATATGAGTAAAAGTGGTTGGAAAACTTATGCCTACTTTTCATCATTTAGTTACTGTGAAGTTCATTCTCACATTATTTGAATGATATTCTTGGGGTGTGTTTATTTTATTTGGCTAGAATGCGTATAACTATGAAACACCTAAGATAGGTAAAGGAACAGATACTGTTTTAAGTAGAAGAATAAAGCTGGTATTCTAGCTATGCTAGAATCACTTTCCTCAAAGGAAAAGAGGTACCCACTAGTCACTAGTAAGGGACATACCATCTGATTTGAAGTACTGTACATCTGCCACATCTTTGGAACCCATATGCCTATGATGCTTATTAGTAGATTTCTCTTTTTTTAAAAAAAAATTAAGTGTCTTTACTTTTTTGCCTGACAATATTGGATTTTTTGTTTGTTTTGTTTTGGGGTGTTTTAGACATGGCCTAGGAAAACATGCTGAGTAAATTTAATATAAAAGTGGCTTTAAAAAAGAAAAATGTATGGGCTTGGGAAATAGCTCAGTTGGTAGAGTTCTTACCTCACATGCACATGGCACCACACACACAAAAAAAAAAAAACAAAAAAAAAGAAAAAAATTTAAAAAGATTGTACCAGACAGATCGGGCGCGTTCAGGGTGGTATGGCCGTAGACTTTTTTTTTCTTTCTTTCTTTTCTTTTCTCGCTCTTCTCATCCATTCTCCTCTACCCTTCCCCCTCTGGTCCTCACAACCTCAACATATGTGAAACCAAGAACTTTGCATGAAATTGGACTTTAAGAACTGAATCACCAGAATAGTATAATATAGAGGAATTGCATAGGCCCCACCTCACCCCCCCCTTTATTTTCTCTCTCTCTCTTTCTTTCTTTCCTTGTTATTTTTTTCTTCCTCCCTCTATCCCACTTACAACCTCCTAACTTTTACTATTTATACGTACGATAATTTTCTAAATACAGATAAGGAGTTTGAATTTATACATTCTTCCATAAATTACCCCTGTCTATTCATTAGAGTTCTACTCCAAAGTTGCTAAATTAGATTAATCCCATACCTTCACTCCTTTCCCCCTTAACATAGCATCCTATCCCTGACCCTGAGTTCTCTATACACCACCAGAAATGGTATGCCTTTTATGAAACTAATGACTATATTCTAAATAATAATTGAAGTCAACATCTGTAGACATAGAGTCTAACTATAAATGTATTAATAATGAAAACTTGCTCATAGATGATGTATTATTGGGAACTGTTAACATTGTTTTTCTCCACAAAATAGAGATTTTAGAACTATACAAGAGCAATATAGATTTATAGGGGGAAAATATTAACACAACAGTCACACAGAGCTGGAAAGAAACGTGAGCAGCACAATTCACAATAGCTAGACTGTGGAGCCAACCTAGATGCCCTTCAGTGGATGAATGGATAAAAAAAAATGTGGCATATATACACAATGGAATATTACTCAGCACTAAAAAATAATAAGATCATGGCATTTGCAGGGAAATGGATGGCATTAGAGCAGATTATGCTAAGTGAAGTTAGCCAATCCCAAAAAAACAAATGCTGAATGTCTTCTCTAATATAAGGGGGGGTGACTCAAAATGGGGTAAGGAGGAAGAGCAGTGGAAGAAGATTACCTCTACATAGGGAAGAGGGGTGGGAGGGAAAGGGAGGGAGAAGGGGAATTGCATGGAAGGTGGAAGGAGACCCTCATCTTTATACAAAACACATGTATGAAGATGTGAGAAAAAAAGAAAAAAAAAAAGAACAGCGTTTCCTTAGATTAGGTAGAGAGAAGTGATGGGAGGGGAGGGGAGGGGTTGGGGGGATAAGAAGGATAGTAGAATAAAACAGACATTATTATTAATATATGTGACTGCATGACCAATATGATTCTGCAACCTGTACACTCAGAAAAATGAGAAATTATATCCCATCTGATTCAAATGATATGTCAAGGTCATTGTACTGTTGTGTGTAACTAATTAAAACAAAAAATTAAAATTAAAAAAAAAGATTGTACCAGTTGAAAAACATAATGCATAATAGAAATTTAGACATGAACTGTTATGTTTTTTGATTATTCCTTTTTTTTTTTTTTTTTTTTTTTTTTGCCAGTAAGGATAAATACAGGAGCATCCTACCACTGAGTTAAATCCCTAGACCTCTATGTGTCTTTATATATTTTACTTTGAGATAGGGTCTCCTTGAGTTGCCCAAGTGGGCCTCAAACTAGTGAACCTCCTGAGTACCTGGAATTACTGCACCACTGTGCCTGGCTGTTCCTCGATTATTCACTATCACTGTATGCTCAGCATCTTGAACACACAGTGAGGGCTGGGGATGTAGCTCAGTTGTAGAGTGTTTACCTAGCATGTGTGAGGCTCTGGGGTTGATACCCAACACAGCAAAAAACAATAAAAAGCCCAATCAAGGAAGATGGCCGCTGCGCACGGAGGTTGCTGAAGTCCTGAGCGTGGTGCTCAGAGCAGCGGCTTTAATCGAGATTTCGCACAGCGTGTAAGAGCTCCTTTCACCGTTAATCTGTAGTGGACCACTTTGCCAAGCAGCAGGAAGAACAAAGAGATCAAAAAAGAGACGCTTGGCTCCCGGATGCTTTGCCGCCCAGAGCCGCGGGCGCTTTGCTCCCATCTGCTTCCTCTTTCGCTTCGCTCCAGGCAGAAAAGCTGAGTGTGTAATCAGCAGTGGATTGTAAGTACCCTAGGCAAAGAAAGCTCAGTGCGCCCCGCCTTTTTTTTTTTTTTTTTTGAATATTTTTTATACAGGGAGAGTTTGTGGATTGGGATCGTTGGCTGGGCTGTGGTTTCTGTGCCGAAAATCCACTCCGCGGGAGCCGCCATTTGCTTTCTGCTGGCTGTCTTGATGGCTATGGCTACATTGTCCGGCAGCCGCACCTAGAGGTTGGAACTGGGCTGCGTGCCGAGCCCTGTCCTCCAAAGGCTGGACCGCAGCCTTGAGCGCCTGGGTCGCCTGTTCGCCGCTGCACCCTTGGGTAGAGCCTGCTCTGGGGTCGTTCTGCATGCCCCTGCGAGGGGACCCGTGCTTCAGAGGAGGGAGCCGGAGAGCCGCGGTGACAGCCGCTTGGGCCCCGGGGGCTGGGCACCGGTCGGCGGCGCAGCTACGGTCGCGGTCCAGCGCAGCGCCCCTGAGCGTGGCCCCGGGGAAGAGGCGACGGCGGCAGGGTTTAATTTCTAGAAATCTGGACTGGAAACAGAAGCAGCAGTTTGTATAATCCCAAGAACTTGCTTATGCCAGGCAACATGAATATCATTGAGGAGATCTAACATGGCTGCGGGCGGGGAGAGATCAAGTCTCTGACCTCTTCAACTGCGCGGGCATAGGGAGCTGTAAACTGTATAAATGCTGTTTGCTCAGGATCACTAGGCAATGCTGAGCTGACGTGGATCTGGGGTGTACAGTCTGGGCCCCTCAGAACTCACACACCAAGCCCGGATCGGCTGCATTCAAGCTCCGGTTCGCCTGCTTCTCGTGACTCAGCACTAACGATCCCGCTGAAATAACTGGTTGGCCCTTAGGAACTTTCAGAGGTAAAAACCAACCGAGCCTTCATAGGCAGTGGCCACAGGATTGAAACGGGGATTGGGAGAGACAGTCAGGACCCACCCGTTGCATTGTTCACCCGGCAAAGGGAATGAACGGTCACCATTTACATGTGATACCACCTTGGCAGAGAACTGACGTCACGGGCGGAGGAGATAACTGCATTGAAACCAGCGCAACAGGGCTCCCAGGAGCAGCAGACATGGCGTGTAGCCAGTATTGTGGTGAGCGTCACAGGTGAGCGCGGCCTGGCTTGAGGAAACACAAGAGAAGGCCCTAAGCACTCAGGATTGGAGACCCGCCCAGTCTGTGAGGAAGAGCTGCTACACAGTGATTGGTTCCCACTTAGTGAGAGGAGAAGCTTGGCCCAGTGGGCACAGCTCCACCTACTGGAAGAGAAATTAATCGAACTCTATGACTGCATTTATTATTATTATTATTATCATTTTTTTTCTTTTTCTATTTTTTTCTTTCATTTTCAGTTTTTTTGTGGCTGTTCTTTAACTTTTTTTAAAGTTTCTAATTTTTTTTAAATTTTTTTATTTTTATTATTATTATAATTTTTTAATTTTAATTTTCATTATTTTTATTATCATTATTAGTTTTGTAAAAAAACTTTTTTTCTTTTCTTTCTTTATTTTCTAACTTTTTTGTGTGTGTTTTGTTTTTGTTTCTTTTGTCTTTTCATTTCTTTTCAATTTTCTTATTCCCCCTTCCTTGAATTCTACCTGCCTACTCTCATTCTCTTTAGTGACTTCTTCCCTTCCCTTCTAATATCTTTCCTCCCAAGCATCAAATAAATTTATAAGAGTAAACAGTAACTCAGCAGTCAAACAGAACAAGAATTAACATGAGCAGCATAAAAAAGCAAGGAAGAAAAGGGGTACAAACAATGAAGGACAGCCTAAATATTCAGGAGGACCTAGAGTCAGCAGAAAAATGGTCATATAAAGAACTCAAGGAATACCTTAGACAGATGGAATGGAACCTTAAAGAAGATACGAGACAGCAAATCCAAACATTGAAAGAACACTTTGAAAATGAATTACATAAACAGATAAAAGAAGAAGTTAAGCATCTTTATCAGGATATAGAGATTATAAAAAAAAATCAAACAATAATTCTAGAAATGAAGGAAACGATAAACCAAATTAAAAACTCAATTGAGAGTATCACTAACAGAGTGGAGCAAGTAGAAGCCAGAACGTCAGATAATGAAGACAAAATATATCATCTTGAAAAGAGCCTAGCCAACTCAGAAAGGCTGGTTAAAAATCACGAGAGAAACATCCAAAAGATATGGGATAACATAAAAAAACCAAACCTACGAGTCATCGGGATAGAAGAAGGTACAGAGATTCAAAACAAGGGAATGAGTAGCCTGCTGAATGAAAT